GTTCCTAAGGGTGGTTGGTACCCCTGGCCAACCCATCTCCTGAAATAATGGTACTTTCAGTAGCCATTTGGTCGAAAGTACCAATATGTAGTGATGGTCCCCCAGTAAAATAGGTACCTGGGTGTTAAACGGGCTGCTTCCTGGGGGTGGAGGCCTGGTAGGACCGGGCCGCGGGGACACTTTTTAACCTCAAGATACTATGAATATAATAAATATAAAAATATATAAAATAAAGCTTAAAACCAAACTTTAATATTCTTATTTATATATACAAGAGTTCTTACATTCTTGTACAGCCACTAGCAGGTGTAGCGTTTCGGGCAAGTCCTTTATCCTAATTTCTCCCCGGAATACGACCCGTCAAATTGTTTAAACAGGTACCCATTCACTGCTGGATGAACAGAGGCTACAGTTAAGGATTGGCGCCCAGTCAATCCTCCCCGGCCAGGATACGAACCTAGGCCAAAGCGCCTGGTGAGTGCTTTACCACAACGCCACGAGGACTGATTTGTAATTACGTGTATTAGACCTATAACTGCTTGAAGAGGTTAGATTAGGTTTTTTGTTGTCAGTAAACAGACTTTCCCATTTGTCCAATTTCAATATTTAAAACAGCTGTCAACTTTCTGGTGATCCATCATAATATATCTTGTTATTTAGACTAAATACTTACTATTAGTACTTGCATTTAAGAGAATTAGCTGACTTGGTCCGCTGCTTCTCAGTTACATCAATTCAAGTTCAATTTAAAGTATGTTTATTGAGACAAAAAAATACATCCAAAAGGGATAGAGTAGCTTAGGCTATTTCAAACATTAATGTTTTCCAAATGTCTCTCAACAAAGCCTATTATACTTCCTGCTGACACAACCTTCATTTTCTCCCATGCTAACCTACTTAAATAACACAGCGTCCACTGAACTAAATGAAGTTCATTTGCTAACAAACTTACCCTTAACATCGATAAAACGTTCTACGTGTTGCTTGATAACACATCAAAAAATCAACTTAACCCAAGAATTAACAATACCAAAATTATGAGCAGAGTAGATGGGAAGCTTCTTGGTGATCTCAGACAATATACTAAATTTCCATTGTCGTATTCAAAATATAACTGCACATACTCTCAAGTGTACTCGATATCTTTAAAACTCTGATTCACGAAAGCACTTACGAACCTGGTACATCTTTTCTCAATCTTTGGCGGCTTTGTTTCCAATAATTAAACAGTTAATGAGCTCCGAAGCACGAGAAAGCTGTTTATAACAATAACAACAGTTAAATGGAAAGTTTTCGTGCTTGTAAACTGTTTAATAAATGTAACCAAAGTCGTCAAAGATTGAGGAAAGATGTACACGTTCGTAAGTGCTTGCATAAGTGCTTTCGTGAATCTGGCATCTGAACTGCAATGCCAAATCTGACCTTAAGCGCTTCCTAGAGGGCTGTAACAGAACCCATGGGCACCACACGAGAGAAATGTATTTTTAATATTCCCAGAGCGAGAAGCAAAGCAGAAATGCTACGCAAATCCAAGGTCCCAATTTGTGGAATGACCTCTCAAATGTAATTAAAAGCTGTGCGTCTCCCAACCAGATTAAAAGTGAAACGAAGAAATATTTAGTTAAAATCATGTAACTAAATTTCACTCACATTTCCCCATCAATGTAAAATAGTTTTGCGTCTTACCGTTATCTTAAATTCTATATACTAAAAATGTATGCCTTTCTTCATTGCCATCTATTTATTATAGCAGTTTGTTTAAAATTGGTTAAGCAAGTCACATATGCTACTTCTTGTTAATTTGTAAGTGTTTATCCCATTCAACCTTTCAATTTTGCGACTGTCACCATTAAGTACACCTTTATACTAATTAACCTGACGGCCCCTAACCCTAGTGTCCTCGACGAGGACAGGAAGCCGGCGGCTTATCGAAACTCCCCCTTTTGCCTTGATGTTCTTTGGGATAGATTTTAAAACTTAAGAGAGTTTTGGCATTAACGGCTTCGGCGGGTAGGCGGTTCCATGGGTCAATAACCATCTGGGTGAAAAAAAGTCTCCTGTTCTCAGTCTTACACCGTGGCTTGTTGAGCTTGAAACCACTGCTCCTAGTTCCTGTATACTGTATGCTATTTGTTATATTTTCTGAACATTTTCACATGTTACCTTCTCTTTTAATACTGTTTACCCCATTACGCCCATAAATAATATGTTTATCTAATTTATTCTAAGTTTAACCCGAAACACTTTGCGTAGTAGTGGCTTCATAGTCGTGCTAACCCCTAAACCTACAGCTTTCCTTTCCTCTTGTGTTCTCTGTACGCACATTCTTATTAATAACATATTATTATTATTATTGAGAAATTATTACAATATCCTAGTGTTTGAATGAAGGTGAAGTAAAGATCCGGTATATATGTGTGTATTAAAAAACACATTTTCGGATGTAACACTGCATCATTTCTCAAGGTGCTGTATACAATGTACTGGAACACTGTATAATAACACGTTGACAAATGGTGAAGGTTACATCCGAATTGTTTTTTTTTTTAAACACTTATACATATATTGGGTCTTTCCTTCACCTTTTGTATTATTATAAGAAGCAACTGTGTAAATAACCCCAAGTAAGCAAGTAAATAACTTGCCCCACTGTGTAAATAACAGATACTGCTTGCCCCACTGTGTAAATAACAGATACTGTTTGTCCCACTGTGTAAATAACAGATACTGTTTGCCTCACTGTGTAAATAACAGATACTGTTTGTCCCACTGTGTAAATAACAGATGCTGTTTGCTCCAATGTGTAAATAACAGATACTGCTTGCCTCACTGTGTAAAAACAGATACTGCTTGCCCCACTGTGTAAATAACAGATACTGTTTGTCCCACTGTGTAAATAACAGATACTGTTTGCCTCACTGTGTAAATAACAGATACTGTTTGCCCCACTGTGTAAATAACAGATACTGTTTGCCTCACTGTGTAAATAACAGATACTGTTTGCCCCACTGTGTAAATAACAGATACTGCTTGCATCACTATGTAAATAACAAATACTGTTTGCCCCACTGTGTAAATAACAGATACTGCTTGCCTCACTGTGTAAATAACAGATACTGTTTGCCTCACTGTGTAAATAACAGATACTGTTTGCCTCACTGTGTAAATAACAGATACTGTTTGCTCCACTGTGTAAATAACAGATACTGCTTGCCCCCCACTGTGTGCTCCACAATGTAAACAGCGTTAAGGAAGGGGAAGAAAGGGTACAGGAAGCCCATCATTATACAATGGAAAGCCGAGGTTAGAGAGGGATAAGGAACATTATCTCAAGGACTTAATGATGTGTACACTATGGGCAAAAACTATTTTTGTGTGTCATCTACTTTCTGCGCGTGTTCATAATATCTTACCGTTATGCTTACCTCCAGTCACTCCCGTATGAGGGCAATAAAGATCTAACGTGCACCGTTAGATTTTTAGCTAGGTTGGATTAAGTTCGTTTAGGTAAAGTTGGTCCTGTTAGGTTAGGATAGATTAAGTTGGAATTGTTTATAGAATAACGTCGAGGGGTACAGAGATTTCTCAGGACTTAGACCCGTCTACGGATCCCCCAATTAGTGTATATCGGTGTATATCTATTATATCACAATCCCTACCCACCCAAATAATCATAAACTGTATAAAAAAACTGTATTGTACTGTAAACTGTATAAAAATAAGTTGTTAGATCAGAATTAGCTATAAATGATAAAAATCCTCATGGTTTACTAGTTATCCATATGCAAAGTAAAACCAAGTTATTGATATCTCTTGAAGACATACTGGTACCTAATACTAGTAATAGTACTGGTGCTAGTACTGATATTAAAACTGGTATTAGTACTGGTACTGGAGGTGATTTCGACAATCTGATGGAGTATTGGGACATATTGGGTAATCCATTGTGGGTCTGTAATCATAATTTTTTTTATAAACCATCAAATTAGTGGATAAGTCAAGTAGTCCACAACCACCCACTAGTGAAAACTACACCATTGGTGGACCACTAGCCACCCACTAGTGAAAACTACACCATTGGTGGACCACTAGCCACCCACTAGTGAAAACTACACAATTGGTGGACCACTAGCCACCCACTAGTGAAAACTACACAATTGGTGGACCACTAGCCACCCACTAGTGAAAACTACAGCATTGGTGGACCACTAGCCACCAACTAGTGAAAACTACACCATTGGTGGACCACTAGCCACCAACTAGTGAAAACTACACCATTGGTGGACCACTAGCCACCCACTAGTGAAAACTACACCATTGGTGGACCACTAGCCACCCACTAGTGAAAACTACACAATTGGTGGACCACTAGCCACCCACTAGTGAAAACTACACAATTGGTGGACCACTAGCCACCCACTAGTGAAAACCACACAATTGGTGGACCACTAGCCACCCACTAGTGAAAACTACACAATTGGTGGACCACTAGCCACCCACTAGTGAAAACTATACAATTGGTGGACCACTAGCCACCCACTAGTGAAAACTACACAATTGGTGGACCACTAGCCACCCACTAGTGAAAACTACACCATTGGTGGACCACTAGCCACCCACTAGTGAAATCTACAGCATTGGTGGACCACTAGCCACCCACTAGTGAGCCCCCTGGGATCTAAAAAGCAGTCGTCTCGCTCCTGATTTGCTATTGTTGGGGAAGGGCGGAAAGTTTCGTTCCAATTTTGGAATTGTGGGCGGCGTTTACAGAATGGGAGGAGCAAGTGGGGCCTGAGGTACGAGCGTCAAGAAAATGGGAGGACCTAGACACGTTGAAAGGTATTATTAAAGGGGAAAAGGGAAAGTCTGAGTGAAGTAGGGAGTGAGAGGGGGGAGAAGGAAGTATGAGGGGGATGAGGAGGGATGGAAAATGCAAGTGGGAGGGGGGGGGGGAGGTGTGTGTGTGTGGGATGGCGGCGGCGGCGGCGTCAGTAGATTCCACCGCTTGGCCTCGCTAGGCTGCTCCTGTCTATCCTGGCTCGGTGAACTGTCTCCGTCTTCCCCCGTCTGCTTCTGTCCAAGGTAACGTGTCATATGTCCCCCTACTTCTGTATGTGTGTGTGTGTGTGGTTAAATGTCCGGGTTTCCTACCTACTTCCGTCCAGTATAAGACGACGATAACGTGGCTCAAGAACCGACATCCAACCCCACACATCTGGAAATGAAGGACCGACGATGTTTCGGTCCGTCCTGGACCGAAACGTCTTGATAATGGTCCAGGATGGACCGAAACATCGTCGGTTCTTCAGACGCGCGGGTGTCTATGTACGCTGTCATCTCTCACCTTGATTCTGTACTCACGAATCATCCATAAGAGGTTCTTCTTATCTTGAGATGATTTCGGGGCTTAACGTCCCCGCGGCCCGGTCCTCGACCAGGCCTCCTTTTTGTTACACACACACCCAGGATGCAGCCCGTAGCAGCTGTCTAACTCCCAGGTACCTATTTACTGCATCAGGGTGAAAGAAACTCTGCCTATCTGTTTCCGCCTCCACCGGGGATCGAACCCGGAACCTCAGGACTACGAATCACGAGCGCTGTCCACTCAGCTGTCAGGGCCCCCTTAGGCCTAAGAGGGCCTAGCATGCTGCCTTGGGGCTTCTTTAATATTAGCGATTAATTATTAATAATTACCTAACAATTATTCTGTTGTTAACTCATTATTGGTGAGTTGAGGAACGGCAGGATATCTTTAGGTCAGTGAAGAGGCCTTTCTTCAATTTTGGGAATTCATTTTCCACGAGTCCTGAGTTGGTTAAGTAAATTCATATTACTATCATCAGTACTGTATTCTAGTGAGATCTGAAGGCCAGTAGGACGGAACTTTGGTTGTTGTTATTGCTTTAGATTCAGCTACTCGGAACAAAAAGTTCCAAACAGCACGGGCTATGGTGAGCCCGTAGTGGACTTACCTGGCACAGGAGCGGGGCAAGTAGCACGGGCTATGGTGAGCCCGTAGTGGACTTACCTGGCACAGGACCGGGGCAAGTAGCACGGGCTATGGTGAGCCCGTAGTGGACTTACCTGGCACAGGAGCGGGGCAAGTAGCACGGGCTATGGTGAGCCCGTAGTGGACTTACCTGGCACAGGAGCGGGGCAAGTAGCACGGGCTATGGTGAGCCCGTAGTGGACTTACCTGGCACAGGAGCGGGGCAAGTAGCACGGGCTATGGTGAGCCCGTAGTGGACTTACCTGGCACAGGAGCGGGGCAAGTAGCACGGGCTATGGTGAGCCCGTAGTGGACTTACCTGGCACAGGAGCAGGGCAAGTAGCACGGGCTATGGTGAGCCCATAGTGGACTTGCCTGGCACAGGAGCGGGGCAAGTAGCACGGGCTATGGTGAGCCCGAAGTGAACTTACCTGGCACAGGAGCGGGGCTGTAACTGGAACTTTGGTGTTGGGCTTAAAGCCTATATCAACCTCTAGAGGGATAATGCCACCACAAGAGCTTATAATGAACAGTATATATTGTTCATTACCTTAATACAGGATTAAGGACGCCTTAATCCTGTATTAAGGCGTCCTGTACATACCAGTTGCGTTGCTCCTGGCAGTATGGGTTCGAGTCACTTCTGGGGTGGGGGTGTGAGTTTTCAGTTATATATATATATATATATATATATATATATATATATATATATATATATATATATATATATATAATCATATATATACAGTACACGATAGGCTTACATCAAGCTCCTTCCCCCACAACAAGCTGTGTAGCACAGGTGCATGAGGTGAAAGGAAACGCGCCCAAACATTTCGTCCCGACCGGGATTCGAACCTGGAATTCTCGATTATGAGTTGAGAAGGAACCCGACTGTAGTGCCGGGACCCTCCTTAACCAACCAGCAAGTTTACCTTACCTGGTTGATGGGGTTCTTGGAGTTCTTCTACTCCCCAAGCCCGGCCCGAGGCCAGCCTTGACTTGTGAGAGTTTGGTCCACCAGGCTGTTGCTTGGAGTGGCCCGCAGGCCCACATACCCACCACAGCCTGGTTGGTCCGGCACTTCTTGGAGGAAACAATTTAATTTCCTTTTGAAGATGTCCACGGTTGTTCTGGCAATATTTCTTATGCTCGCTGGGAGGACGTTGAACAGCCGTGGACCTCTGATGTTTATACAGTGTTCTCTGATTGTGCCTATGGCACCTCTGCTCTTCACTGGTTTTATTCTGCATTTTCTTCCATATCGTTCACTCCAGTACGTTGTTATTTTACTGTGTAGATTTGGGACCTGGCCCTCCAGCATTTTCCACGTGTATATTATTTGGTATTTCTCTCTCTCGTCTCCTTTCTAGTGAGTACATTTGGAGAGCTTTGAGACGATCCCAATAATTTAGATGCTTTATCTCGTCTATGCGTACCGTATATGTTCTCTGTATTCCCTCTATTTCAGCAATCTTTCCTGCTCTGAAGAGGGAAGTGAGTACTGAGCAGTACTCGAGACGGGACAACACAAGTGACTTGAAGAGTACAACCATTGTGATGGGATCCCTGGATTTGAAGGTTCTCGTAATCCATCCTATTATTTTTCTGGCTGGCGCAATATTTGCTTGGTTATGCTCCTTAAACGTTAGGTCGTCAGACATCATTATTCCCAAATCCTTGACATGCTGCTTTCCTACTTTCAAAACGCAGATTCGATTGTTTTGTACCCTGTATTATGTTTCAGCTCCTCATTTTTGCTGTACCTGAGTACCTGGAATTTATCACCGTTAAACATCATGTAATTTTCTGCTGCCCAATCTAAAACTTTGTTAATATCTGTTTGTATTTTTTCCATGTCTTCAGCAGAGGTAATTTTCATGCTGATTTTTTCATCATCTGCAAAGGATGACATGAAGCTGTGACTTGTATTTTTGTCTATATCTGATATGAGAATAAGGAACAGCAGTGGTGCAAGGACTGTACCCTGAGGTACAGAGCTTTTAACTACGCTTGCGCCTTAGTTCACACTTAAAGTATACTGTAAAAGTATACCTTAGTTCAGACCTAAAGTATACTGTAAAGGTATACCTTAGTTCACACCTAAAGTAGACTGTAAAGGTATACCATAGTTCAGACCTAAAGTATACTGCAAAGGTACTTTCACAGAGACAAGATGATTACCTCTGGGTATAGCTGTGATTACCTCTAGGTATTTGTGTGGGAAAACTTAACTTATGTAAATCATTTAAATTGATACTATTTTCGATAGCTACGAAGGACCAGCACTTTTTGTGAAAAAATGGAAAACTAGGTAGAGCAAGTGGTTTGATATTAATTCCATGAACTAGTGTCCTATGGATGTTCTTAATTAATAATACATTGAATATTACAAGGACTGTATATATTATGAGTCAAATTCACTCACCCAAAATGGGGGGTTACATGCCAAAAGATTAATATATCACAAGCACGATTTCAGTGCTGGTTCTTCACTGAAGTAACTAAATGTAAATAAAAATTAAATAGATCATATAATAATAATTAGAGGCAAATGTACCTCAAGATACTACAGTAATTTGGTAAAATATATAACCAAATCAATGGGTTAGTAGTAATGATCTCATCACTAATATACCAATGTGCTTTAATATACTTACTAATCTCTCTCATCTAATTTTTTTCTTTCAATGTATCTGTTATCATTTTATTAATTCTGCTAGAATTTACCTACTTAAAATTATCTGTTAGATTCAGGACCTGCCCGAAACGCTGCGCGTACTAGTGGCTTTACAAGATTGTAAATACTATGCTATGTATTCTCACAAACCCAATGTACCTTCTTGTATATAAATAAATAAATAAATAAATAAATAAATTAGGAGATCGTTAAGGTAGCTAAGTTATTATGTCTCTACAAACAACAATTAACAGCTTAGCTGTGAAAATAAGAGATGTGAAATCAGTTGCCACGCTCCACAGACATGTTGTTTGGAGCAAGTTGCTGGCCGTGAAGGTGGAGTAGCCTAACTCCTCGGTTGACGTGGACTCGGGAGCTGTAAGGCAATTACAATGTACAAATCTTCTACATAAATGATATAAAGATATATTTAATAATACGGAATTCTTCCTTGTATGATTTAAACGATATATCTGACACTGTAGAATTCTTCTACAGACATTAATGAAATATATTCCTATATAAATTACGGAATACGCTAGAAAGTAAACGTACTAGATTTTTGTTGTAAATAAATGGCCTAATGACAACTAGCCTAAATATTAACATGTGATCACAGTGTTAAATAAAAGGTAATTAATAGTTGCCAGGCGAAGTGTCCGTTGGTCTAGGGAACAATTTCAGGCCTCCGTCTTGAAACTGCTGTTGCTAAGACGTCAACTACGGGCCGGAGAATTAATTAGTTCCAGGACACTGCCGTTATGTTCCAAAATAACGTGGCACCGCTCTCGTGGTGGTAGGAGCGAATAAAATGACACTAAGCAGGTTCCTTGCAATGGCGCCTCTCTCTTGCACGCTGCTAATATGGCGTCGCTAGTAGGAATGGCGTCTCCTTCCTCCCTCCCGGGCTGCGATACGCATGCGCAGAACGCTTAAAGTAATCTCGAGCGTAAATTATTTTGCTTACTCGCAATTAATTGGAAAAGTAAGGAATAGTGACAAGTACTAATGTCATAAATAAATGTATTAAAGTGCAATATAATTTTGCATAATGCAAGTCAGCTTATTAAGACTGCATACAAATTTTGAAAGGAATATTATATAGAATTGTTTAACATTATAATATTTTCCACTGTAGTTGTTAATTCACCTAAATAAACGAGTTCATTAGGCAGTAATATGCTGTATAAATAAAACAACTAAATAAACGATTGTCCTTAGCAATGGAAAGTAAGGACTGTTTAGATTCAAGTTCAAGTTTATTTAGTTATTTATATATATATATATATATATATATATATATATATATATATATATATATATATATATATATATAGCCAGATTCTCATCCTACTATATAAGGCCCGATATATAATATAAGTATATGATATATATTTTCTCTAATATATAAATGATAAATACCCATTTCATTATGTACGATGTCATATATATATATATATATATATATATGATATATATATATATATATATTAGGTTAGGTTATAGCCCATTATGTTAGGTATATATATATCGAAAAACAATATGATATATATATATTTGCATAGTATATAAGTGCGTTCTGCATATATATATACATATATATATATATATATATATATATATATATATATATATATATATATATATATATATATATATATATATATATATATATATATATATATATATATATATATATATATGCATATATATATATATATATATATATATATATATGCATATATATATATGCATATATATATATATATATATATATATATATATATATATATATATATATATATATATATATATATATATATATATATATATATATATATATATATATATATATATAAGAAGGTACATTGGGATTGTGAGGATATATTGCATAGTAATTACATTCTTGTAAAGCCACTAGTACGCGCAGCGTTTCGGGAAAAACAGAAATAAACAGAATTTATGTTTATTGAGACAAGAAAGAAATACATCGCAAAGGGATAGAGTAGCTTAGGCTATTTCTACCCCGCTCTGTTTAGATTTAATTAAATGTGGATATATTTCATGTTTTAACTTACGGCTACCTCCCGGCGTCACGGAAACTGTAGGAAGGAAGAGGGGGTAGAAATAGCCTAAGCTACTCTATCCCTTTGAGAAGAAATGTAGATGTTTATCTCTCAGAATGTTTGGTAATATGTTTATTGTTTGTGATGTGTGTATATGTATGTATTAACACGATGTACTGAACGGGGTGAGAATAGCTTGAGCTACCTCATCCCTTTGTGTGTATTTTACCTCAATAAACTTATTTCAATTTCAATCCCTTTGAGATGTATTTCTTTCTTGTCTCAATAAACATACTTGAACTGTAGGAAGGGTTTGGTAAAATACTGCGTCGCAATAGAAACATTAACTGGAATAATTCTACGAATTAATAAAATTAGTAATTACTATGGCTAATACAATATTGATGTATTATTATACAAAAATGATGTATAAGTCCAACAATATTTATGATCACCTCTGGGTTTAGCCATACATTAGGTCTCTTCGCAAAGTTGGAGTACAATTGTGTACATATATCATATTTCCCCCGGGGTACTGGGCGCACCTGTTTGAGAAGGACCTTTTGAAAGATAAAAAAAAAAACTATGCTGTATTATACATTTTGGTCCCGTAAATACAGTATACTCTGTTTTGGTGGACCAAAAACCGGCCTCTTATCATGCGGCAGATACAGTATATTTTGTCAAAAGTGTTTTATATTGATGTGTTATATTGGTCTATATTTGTTCTATATTAGCAAAGGTTTGCGAGTCATAAAATATTTTTCGGTATTCTAAAGATCTGCGAGATCAGCCCTATCATGTCAGGTTTGTAGTTGTTCTGATTATATATAAATTGTCAACCCACACTCTAGTGGAGATGGCCATTTAGAGTTCACTTAGGCACTAGGAGGCTCGAACTGCCGACTCTATGACCGTGAAGCAGAAACTCTGCCACTGAAACTACTTATTGTGGTGTTTCATAGTACAGTGGTAGAGCTTGTGTCTCATGGTTGCTGGGGTCAGTGATTCGAGTCTCGTAGTGCCCAAATGAATTATATATATATATATATATATATATATATATATATATATATATATATATATATATATATATATATATATATATATATATATATATATATATATTATTAAAGCATAAGTCAATAAAGAAAGTAAATTTAGTCAAGCAACACTAATAAGACTAAAACTGTATAAAAAGTTCAAACTAGAAAATAAAGAGATAAAGAGCAAAGTCTTACTGTACGGTCAATCAGATTACTAATAAATATCAACTACTAATGTTAACTGTTAACATAGTTACTCAGATTGTTAATAAAGTCTTATAATAAGTGCATAGAGGCCTGATTGAAAGGCTAATGGGCGTGTTGGGACGGTTTTACTGACCTGTTTTGCTGTTCTTAGGTCTTAATAGTCTACAAATACATTCTTGTTTAGTTTGGTGTATATAATTTTAATTTTATAAATCATTTTTACATATACACAGAGAAGCAAAGTACACCTCTGTGTATATCCCTGTATTTCCTATTTCACTTTGATTAAGTCTTAAATACATTCCTGTATATTGTTTTTATTAAGACTTCATAAAAACAAGATATAGGAATGTATTTAAGTCTTAAATACATTTGTCACTGTAAGCATCAGTCATCTTGGAGAATAATCACCTGAGACCTGCCTTTGTCTTTCCTTTGTTTTATTGACAAACTTCGGGACGTTTCACTGCAGATCACAACCTTCATTTGAAGCTATACAATGGGATCGACCTTGCGTCCCTGGAATTCTCAGGTTTACCTATAATATCTCCGTCCTGTTAGACGGTTCATGCATGGCAATATATATATATTTAAGCTCAAAGACTTTGTGGAACTTGGTTTTGATTTAGTTTAGTGTGTTATAATAAGCCAGGGCTTCTCTGTACAAATAAGGTCCTTAGTAGAGTGTATAAAGTGACCCTGGCAGTTGCCAGGGTCTCGCCTCTTTACAGAGAAGCCCTGAGCCCTACACACTGGTCATGGCGATCGAGGTGTTGCTCAACTCCAAGTCGGTGGTGACGCCGCTGCGACCAGTGTGGTACACCTACGTCACGCTCTCAATCCCCCTCGGCAACCGTAATATTGATGCCTTTACCCTGGCTCTGGCGATGTCCTTCGCGGTCCGGCTCGACATCAACCTCTACAATGTCTTCAACCGCCCGGCTAAAACGGGAAGGTGAGTCTGGAATTATATCAATGTTTTCTCTTCCACACAGACGCTGCTTTTCTCCCTCTCCGTGGTCAATGTACGTGTGGGGCGGCGTAGCGACGAGGACCAGTGATAGCAGCGTGTTGAACCTCAAGATATGGCGGACGTGGGAGACCAGACGCTGGGCATCTATTTCACATATACACATCCGATGTATCGCGGGCAGAAGGCCGACGGGTCCGTCAACACCGTGGCCATCTCCCTCATCACTGTAGGCGTCATATATTACCTCGCGGCTCTCTTTCCTTCAAAATCTTCTCGCTTCAGCAGGTATTATGGCGACTCTATACATGTGTACACATATGTAAGTATTTATGTATTGGTTTGCAACCAGTTCCCAGTAGAGTAGCTGTTGGGCACGTTTTCTGTAGCCTGATGCGCTTGTTCACGTAGCAGTACAGCTAGGTTCACCTAGGAACTAGGCGACTGTTGAGGGTTCCATCCTGGGGAAGGCTAGTAGTTGGCCTAGGCAAGTTATTCCAAATCTTTCATGTTTCTTTCCTCATTTTCAAACTAGAAGCGCTAGGAGTTCGTCCTCAGCCCAAGATTAGTAATGGTGTGAACGACCTCTTAACGCTATCAAGCTTGTAAGCTGTCAGTAAATTCAAATTCAAATAATTTGAATTCATATTTTCAAATAATGTAAATAAGCCGCCATTACTGAGGCAAGACGCCATACAGATCTCTTAAGTGAACACGCAACTGCTTCGTGAATGCCTATAATAATATACTATGGGAATGAGGAGAGTAACACTGACTGACTCAGTCCCCGTGTGACCCCTGGCAGGAGTATCCAGGAGGACCAACTGGACCTCTTCCAGCAGATAGAGAGCAACATCGCCACGCTGGGAGTGGACGGCCACGCATGCGTACTCCGGTTTATCTGTGAGATGCAAACCAACAGGTTCTCCAGCTCATCAATATTCGGAGAAATCTTCAACCTTATGTTCACGTAAGTTTACTGAGTATTGTGGCTGGGCCGGGTAGCCTCGCGGGCCATTATAACCTTACGGACCATTATAATTTCGCGGACTAGGTTTCATCAATTCTATAAACATGCTGGGATCGCGTTGAGTGCCAGCCTATGTTAGAATCCTTGGGGTTCAAGGTATTGTTGAATTTTTTATTATATACTAGCAGCACCCGGTCAAGCGTTGCTGTGGCTCATGCGTTGCTGAGCCACAGCAACCTTCCCTGTCCCCCAGTCCTCCCCACCACTCCCCCCTCACCCGTTTCCTTGGCCTCCCAACCATTCCCAACTCCCCCGTCCCCTCGTCCTACTCACCATTCCCCACTCCACCATCTCCTCTTCCTTCCCACCATGCTCCTCTCGCCTGTCCCTATGTCCTCCCCACCATTCTTCCATCCCCACTATCCCAAACTCCCCTGTCCCCTCGTCCTCCCCACCATCTCTCACTTCCATCCCCTCGTCCGATGCCTTCCCAAATGGTCTGATGTTCCCATCAGAAAATTGAGAACAGCAAGTGATCTGATGTTCCCATCACAGAAATATAAGAAAAACAGTTAAAAAATGAAATGAAAATATGAAAAAAATATAAAAATAAACTATACTACGAAATGAACCATATGGTAACCAACACAGCTCAATTCCAATGCAATTCACACAAAATAATTAAATCAAAATGAAAATAAATAAAAATCTATGAAAATTCAATTTATCAATGCCATCAGAAGCATTGAAATGGAATTGTAACATATATTATATTAAGCATAGTTTTACCTGTCACAGGTGTGGCATCAATACTTACGAAATGAACGGTATGGTCAACAACACAGCTCAATTCCAACACAATTCACACAAAATAATTAAATAAAAAATAAAATAAATCGAAATCTATGAAAATAAAATTTATCAATGCAATCAGAAACATTGAAATGGAATTCGTGACATATTTAGTATAGCGTGCATGTTGCTATTATGTGCAACAGATGGCGCTGTTTTTCAAACACGCATGTTTTTACCTGTCACAGGTGAGGCATGTATATAGTATATATATTAAAATACGCGCCTATTCGAATGCAACGTTGTGTCAAAATTTCAAAGCAAGTGGTAAAGAGGTTTCGAAGATTTCCCCTCACATGATAAACACATAAAAATGCAGTTTTTCAGAAAAAGCATGTTTTTTTTTTTACCGTCACAGACGTGACATCAATATAGTATGTATATAAAAATCTGCTAGGATGCGAATGGAACGTTGTGTGAAAATTTCAAAGCAATCGGTGAAGAACTTTCGGAGATTAGCAGTTATGCACAAACGAACATTTCCCTTCTTATTTATATAGATATAGATTATATATATTATTATATATATATATATATATATATATATATATATATATATATATATATATATATATATATATATATATATATATATATATATATGCAATTGATGATCACTAAACACTGATCATTTGTATGCGGAAAAACCACAAAGAAATGGGAAGAGAGATGAACGTTTCGGCCTGTTAAAGCCGTTGTCAACACCAGACTCAAGTCTGGTGTTGGATGAAAAATAATGGATATTAATAGGCTATTTCATGCATGAACATAAGCAGCTTATGTTCTTGCTGCTCCTGTCACTGTGTTGGCTCGGGGTCTTGGAGTGGGTAGAATGTAATTGTGTATTAACTGGTTATTGATTGCTGGTCTTGACTTTTTGATTTGTAGGGCCTCGCTGATGTCCAGTCTTCTATTGTCGTTATACCTGTGGATTATTTCAGTGTTGCTTGTTAATATGTCTCTGGTGATGGTCTGGTTGTGTGAGGAGATTATAGCCTCCTTGATGGAGTCCTGAAGCTTGTGCATTGTTAATCGCCTAGAGAGAGACGTTGTTGTCTTGCCTATATACTAAGATCTTTGAGACTGACAGTCCCCAAGTGGGCATGTGAAGGCATAGACGACGTTGGTCTCTTTCAAGGCGTTCTGTTTGGTGTCTGGGGAGTTCTTCATGAGTAGGTTGGCGGTCTTCTTGTTTTTGTAGTAAATTGTTAATTATATCTTCTGATTTGTGTATGTGGGGATAACGTTCCTATTAATAATATCTTTCAGGACACTTTCCTCCGTTTTATGAGCCTTTGGAAAAAAATTCCTGTAAAACAGTCTAATTAGGGGTACAAGTGTTGTGTTAGTTGACTCTTCAGAGGTTGCATGGTGTTTCACCTTCCTTGTAATGACGTCTTCGACATAACCGTAGAGAAGCCAGAATGCTCTACTTAACCAACTATGCACGACCCGATTTGCCTATTTTCCTGAATGTATATATTTTTCTCATTTCTTTTCTTATGAAATGATAAAACTTTCCATTACATTATATATATGAGGGATTTTTTTTTTTAATTTGAGTTAAAATTAACGTAGAAATATGACCAAATATAACCTAACCTGAACTGACATAACTAAGTCAGTAATTTATGTTGTTAATATAATATAATCTTAATTCAAATAAACCAATTGGAAACAAGTTTTTGAAAATAACGAAAATCACTCTGCCTATTAAGCAAAACGGCCCGTTTTGCTTAATTGCATTCTAGGCCAAGTAGTGCGTCCTGGCTACTAGGTACGACATATATATATATATATATATATATATATGGCACAACTCTCCTAAACACGAGAGTGAAGTATACAACTTTAGAACACTTTCCCACCAGGAGACTCGAACCCTAGCCAGCACAGAAGCCTTCCAGCAACTGGCATAACAGGTACGCCTTAACCCGCTCCACCACCTGCTCAGACCCTTAAAAGAGATGGTAATTTCGGAGTATTTAAATACACCAAAGATCACCACCTCCCAAGAGCACTAGAGCAAGTGAGGGGTCATTTATACGTTTATTTCATCAAGTCCCTGTTAATATGGGAAGACACAGTGTCTATGCTTAAGGCACAACTCTCCTAAACACGAGAGTGAAGTATACAACTTTAGAACACTTTCCCACCAGGAGACTCGAACCCTAGCCAGCACAGAAGCCTTCCAGCAACTGGCATAACAGGTACGCCTTAACCCGCTCCACCACCTGCTCAGACCCTTAAAAGAGATGGTAATTTCGGAGTATTTAAATATACCAAATTTAAATTACCATCTCTTTTAAGGGTCTGAGCAGGTGGTGGAGCGGGTTAAGGCGTACCTGTTATGCCAGTTGCTGGAAGGCTTCTGTGCTGGCTAGGGTTCGAGTCTCCTGGTGGGAAAGTGTTCTAAAGTTGTATACTTCACTCTCGTGTTTAGGAGAGTTGTGCCTTAAGCATAGACACTGTGTCTTCCCATATTAACAGGGACTTGATGAAATAAACGTATAAATGACCCCTCACTTGCTCTAGTGCTCTTGGGAGGTGGTGATCTTTGGTGTATTTAAATACTCCGAAATTACCATCTCTTTTAAGGGTCTGAGCAGGTGGTGGAGCGGGTTAAGGCGTACCTGTTATGCCAGTTGCTGGAAGGCTTCTGTGCTGGCTAGGGTTCGAGCCTCCTGGTGGGAAAGTGTTCTAAAGTTATATATATATATATATATATATATATATATATATATATATATATATATATATATATATATATATATATATATATATATATATATATATACAGATAGTAAAATTCTTTCCGTTCTCTACCGGCAGTCCGAAGCAAGGCAGCAACTACAAAATACTAGAGGACTACATAGCAGCGGAGATGGCCGGGCAGGACAGTGGGCCAGGCCAGACCTGCGCGGAGACGTACCCGTCGTGTCCGGTGTCTGTGTTCGCCGTCCTGCGCCGCTTCCAGAACCAAATGGGCTTCTCCACGCCGGAGGACAAGCCCCTCAACGCCTCCATCAACCTCCAGAACAGTCTTCTTACAGGGGACGTTGACCCCTAGAGCACCGCCACACAAGGCTGTTCGTTTCTTCTTTTCTACGCTAACGTGCAGCCCTACTTTCAACCGTGTGCAGCATCAACACAGAGCTCAGTCGAAGATCCGGGGGTTTAATTCCTTTGTGGGACAGAAATGGTTGGGCACGCGTCCTTCCACATAATGCCTCTGTATACAGTAGTTCTAAAGGGGGGGTGGAGGAGGTTTTCTGTTCCTGACAAAACGAATTAAACCTTTGGCTGTTTATATTATAGATGTTACTACTGCTCGGCTTAGACTCGATTACAAGTATCTCTGGGAATTTTCATTATCTGCTGATGTAGATCTGACCAAATGTAAACTGTGTCAACAAAATTATTCGTACACCTTCCGTCACTATGTGATGGAGTGCGAAAACGTAGGTGAATTCAGAGACAATTCTATACCAGATGTTCAAGAGATGTGTAAATATTTAATTCATAAAGATCTGCTGCCAGAAATCTTGGCCAAATATCCCCAGTTTGCTAAATGTAGGTAGTATCTGAGTGATTGTAACCTATCCACCGCTGCCCATTGGATGGAGGGCAGTGTGCAGGATAAACATATCAATTGTGACACTAGCTCTCCACATATGTCAGTTGCTTAAATTAGAAACTGTACTTGTGGTCGGTCTCGAGCCCATTGTTGATGTGACGTCTTATACTGAATTTTGTAACTAGCTCATCAAAATTGTAACTTACTTAGCTATATGAATTGTGGGGTTCAGTCCCTGAGCCCATTATGTGCCTCTGTAACCCCTTTTCACTACCTCCCACAAGATGGGTATGGAGTGCATAATAAATGAACTAAACTATATGCTCTGTCCATCCACAACGCTGACAAGCCATTCAAACATAGGTACAGGACTAATACCTGCTCAAACACTGGTATGACACCCCCTCGCCCGTGAGTGGGCGAGGGGGTGTCATATCAGTGCAGAAGTTGTCAAAAAATGAAGAGGGTAGGAACTTGGAATAGAGGATACAAGCTATACTGTACACAAGCCAGTTAACCAAGGGATTTTGAAACCGTTTGCGAATTTTAGCCTAAATACATCCTAACCTAAGCCACCACATTCTGAGCTAAACTAATACATCCTAACCTAAGCCACCACATCCTGAGCTAAACTAATACATCCTAACCTAAGCCACCACATTCTGAGCTAAACTAATACATCCTAACCTAAGCCACCACATCCTGAGCTAAACTAATACATCCTAACCTAAGCCACCGCATCCTCAGCTAAACTAATACGTCCTAACCAAAGTAAGTAAGTAATTATCAAAAGAAGGCACCAAACCAGGAAGGCTATGTAGCACCATTAAATGTGTGGAATAATCAGAGGGCGCTAAATATCACCAAGGATGCCAATAAGAGAACAGAAACGCATAAGGCAAACAATATCAAAAGTAGATTCACCAAGAATTCTATCGAGGGATAAGCGACCGCGGGGGACGGTCGGATAACAAGACACACGCTCGTCCCGGAAGTCAGAACATTCAACGAGAATATGCACGACCGTAAGAGGGACAATGCAATTTGGACAATAAGGAGCAGGGCAGCACTCCATTAAATGACCATGAGTGAAGCTAGTATGGCCTATATGCAACCTCGCCAGAGCCGTTTCCCATCGCCGGTTACGGTGGTAGGAGGACGGCCATGAGGACACACAACTTTTAAGAGTACGCAGTTTGTTACCAGTAACAGAAGACCAACAAGCCTGCCAACGGGTAAGGATGGAGGAATGAATAACTGGGTAAAAGTCGGAATAAGGAATACTTTTATGAGATATGGGACAAGAGCGAACAGCTTCCCTAGCAGCAGCATCTGCACGCTCATTTAAAGAGACACCAATATGGCTGGGAACCCAGCAAAACTCAACCGACTTAAATTTACTGTGAATAAGAAACGGCCAATGCTGTATCTCGACAACCACTGGATGAACCGGATTAAAGGACCCGAGAGCCATGAGGGCACTACGAGAGTCAACGACAACTACAAAGAAAGATTGACAACGAGAAAGCAGGAGACGAAGAGCATAGAGAATAGCATAAAGTTCTGCTGTGAAGATGCTAGTCTCCGGAGGTAAGCGACACATGTAAGTGCTGTCAGGAAAAAACAACAGAGTAGCCTACACCGTCCACAGACTTAGACCCATCAGTGAAGATGGAAACGGAGCGGGAGTGAGAAGAAAAGTGCTCAAGGAAAATGCGTCTCAGAACCATAGGAGGGGTAAAAGCTTAAGTGATGCGGGTTATTTAAGGATGTACAAAACTGCGGAAGGGGCACCATCTGGTCACCATTTGGTCCGGGAGACATCTCCCGTCACGCAGGGTGCAGTTGCGCCTCCACAGATCTCCAGTATCATCTATTGATACTGGTAATGGCTCAAAAGGGCCACCACTTACGGGCTATTCATGCCCGTGCCACCTCTTGGGTGGCTCAATCTTCATCAATCAATCTGCGGAAGGGGGACTCTCTACGGGGACAAGGAAGGAACAACACGAGGAGAAATATTAGAAATACGAACTGAAAGAGAATCTTGTAAGCGAGATAACCGGACAGAAAGAGGGAGGTGGTGGTCGAAGAGGAACAGGAACCACAGGAGGGGTAAAAGTTAAAGCACGACAGAGGTGAGAGGAAGGATGTTGTAAGGACCGCCCAAGATAGCGAAAACAGTAGCGATCACGGTGGTCCTGGAAAGAGAGGAAGCCAGTGTCAACATACAAGCTGAAAGCGGGAGTCGAACAAAAGGCACCAGAGCTGAGGCGCAACCCAGTATGGTGCAAAGCATCAAGACGGCGAAGAGTAGAAGCAACAGACGAGTATTCAGGGCAACCATAATCGAGTTTAGACAGGAGAGAGAAATGTAAAGCGAGGAGAGTGCGCCTATCCGCTCCCCAAGAACTATGGGACAATACCTAAGGAGGGTAAGGACCTTAGAGCCTTCAGCTCGGAGGTAAGAGATATGGGGCGACCAAAAGATTAACCCCCAAAAGCTTAGCGGAATCCTTGTACACAAGGGGTGCTGGAAAAAACGTTGTGTTCAAGAAGCCTTATAAATTTGTGGACGCCTGTCCACAAATGTGGTAATCTCACAGATGTTAACAACTACAGACCTATATCTATCCTGCCAAACTTGTCAAAAAATTTTGAAAAACTAATCTATAAGCAGCTTTACTCATACCTAGCCAAACTCAATATACTTAGCCCTTGCCAATATGGCTTCAGACCCAAAAAAAGCACTAACGATGCACTTATTAGTATGCTTAACTCGATTCATACAGCTCTTGATAAAAAGGAGTTCCCTGTTGGGTTGTTTGTGGACCTGCGTAAAGCTTTTGACACTGTCAACCACCAAAACCTTCTTCTTAAATTACATCATTATGGAGTCAGAGGACACTCCCTACAATACCTCAAATCCTACCTTACTGACAGGCTCCAATATGTTTCTGTGAATAATACAATTTCTCCCACCCTACCCATCAACATTGGTGTTCCCCAGGGCAGCATACTTGGCCCTCTCCTCTTTCTCATCTACATTAATGACCTTCCAAATGCCTCCCAACACCTCAAACCAATTCTATTTGCTGACGACACAACCTTCATTTACTCCAGTCCTGATCCCCTTGCTCTAAATGCCACAGTAAATACTGAGCTAAATAAAGTCCATCTGTGGCTAACTGCCAACAAACTCACCCTTAACATTGACAAAACCTTTTATATTCTGTTTGGCAATAAATCCTCTAATCAAATAAATCTCAAAATAAACAATACCCAAATTTGTAACAAATTAGATGGCAAATTCCTTGGCATTCTCATTGACCACAAGCTTAATTTCCAGGGACACATTCTAAACATATCAAAAAAAGTTTCAAAAACTGTGGGCATTCTTTCTAAGATCAGATATTATGTACCACGCCCTGCCCTGGTGACTCTCTATTACTCCCTTATCTATCCATATCTCAACTATGGTATTTGTGCTTGGGGCTCTACTACCCAAAATCACTTACGTCCTCTAACTACTCAACACAAAGCTGCTATTAGGACAATATCCAATTCTGGCCCCAGACATCACTCGGTACCCCTACTTAAATCTCTGAATATGTTAGACATTAAGTCACTGCACATTCTCTCATGTGTATTATACATATATAAAACGCTAAACTATAATGCCAATCCTGATCTCAAAAGCTTCATAGAAGGTTGTATCAGAACCCATGAGCATCACACCAGAAATAAATACAGTTTTGATTGTTACGAACCCGGATCCAGCGTCCTAGCCTGGAGCAGTGACAAACACGCCATCTGTGGGTCAGCTCCCGAAACCCCCGCCAAACGAACGACGACACCTAGTGAGGACAGCGTGTACTGGCCTCGAGGACCAGTTTCCAGTCTGGTTCAGCACTCAACACCGCCGCTCCTGACCTCTGGTGAGGTGGTGCTCCGAAGACAGCGCCATCTATGGAGTGGATATGTCGGGCGTTTGTATCTGAGCCTGTGAGTGTGGTGTATTAGTGTCCCGGTTATTAATGACGTGTCTGCTTACAGAGCCGACCTGGGACCACTGTGTTGAAGGTGGAGTCAGTCTACCCGAGGCAGCCAGTCTCCATACAGTGAAGTTTGCTGCAGCTTTTGTGACGTCGCCCCCCCCGGAAGAACACTGTGGTGTGTTAGCCTGCCATTGGAGTGGCAGTTAAAGGATTTACCCGGGACCGACGGTTGGAGACGATAATCCACTGGGGTATTGAGGACAGGAGGGTGATTGGTGATATCACACGAGACTCCTGTCTAGGGCGTACCCATTTTATCGTTCGTGGAGTGGCCGTACCAGCCTTGGTGGCTCAGTACCTGCCAGCAGACCTGCTGGACGTGTGGTTGACGGCCTCCACGACGGTGCCCCCAGTGGACCTGTGTTGTGGCTGACCTGTGGCCAGGGTAGACTCGGCGTTCTCAGAGGACACGTCTTGAGGCCACGAAGAAAGCACCGCGGACTCAGCACCTAGCTTCGAGGATCCATAGTCTCCAGCAGAAGACTACAGTGTTGATCCCCTTTGGAAAGTGTTAATACCCCTCCCCCTTGTGTACGTTTTACTTTTATATATTTAAATGGTGATGGTTATATTATATTATATTAAGTTCTTACCTTTCTTTCCCTACTCCCTTTAAGTTACTTGCGTCACGGATCGCATCCCTTGATAGCCTCTACTGACTTGGGGCCGGATATATATCTGCCTCTAACTACATCAGAGCAAGAACCCCGTTGCGTCCCGAGAGGGCCGTAACATTGATATTCCTAGAGTACGACTTAATCAAACTAGAAATGCTCTACAAATCAAGGGGCCCAGAATGTGGAATGACCTTCCCAACCATGTTAAAGACTGTACCTCTCTCAACCAGTTTAAGTTAAAAGCGAAGCTATACCTAATAAATTCCCTGTAACCTACCTTACCCTTCTATTGTCAACCAATGTCTGTTTTTTTCTTTAAAGAGCGCTGTTTGTCGACATAATTGTATTTGTGCTGCTTTTTCATCTATGTTTTCATTTCTTGTTTTCATTCTACTCATTATGCTCAATTAGTATTAAGCTTGTCATTTAAGTTTATCATGCCCGAAACGCTTTGCGTAATAGTGGCTTTAGGCATTGTATGTACTAGCTCTACCTATAAGTCAAACAATCCTTGTAAATATTTATTGTATGTATGTACCTTACCTAAATAAAATTGTATTGTATTGTTGTATTGTAAGCAATTAGAAAAGTTGGTGTTGGGTACCTGTGGGCATGCGGCCGCTCCAAGCAACAGCCTTTTAGGGTCTTTGCAGCCTTTGATGCTACTGTACGGTAACAATTGCTTGTATGGTAGGTACCATACAAGCATGGCCCCAGGCCGCTCTAAGGAAGAAGAAAATCAAGGAGCACACTCTAGATAAACGGTCCAATGTTTTGGTCCTTTGGGAACTTGAACATCACCTTGTGGTAATTGTCCCATGTTCACTCTCTCTGCTAGTTCCTATGCGTTGTAGTCCGTTTGTTGTCCTGGATATTTTCTCTGACTCTTGTAATCTCAGATAAATTCTTGTCAGGAAGTCGTGACAACCGAATGCATCTGGAGCCTTGTATTGTAATTCTCATTTGTGTTATGTGTTGATTTATTGTCTTAATTGCCCCAGTTGATGTGCTAGCTTTACTTGTACAGTATATTGGGTTGGCCTGGCGTCTGTCGATCTTTCTTCCCGTCCCGGCATCTATAGGCCTCTCTTGCCGGTCCGACGCCTATAGGCCTCTTCTCTTACTCTGGATCCTGTAGACCCTCTTCGATCCGCACCCAGGCCTCTCCCCCGCCCCGGCGCCTGTAAGCCTCTCCCCCTCCCCGGCGCCTGTAGGCCTCTCCCCCACCCCGGCGCCTGTAGGCCTCTCCCCCGCCCCAGCGCCTGTAGGACTCTCCCCACCCAGGCGCCTGTAGGCCTCTCCCCCGCCCCGGCGCCTGTAGGCCTCTCCCCCGGCCCCGGCGCCTGTAGGCCTCTCCCCCGCCCCGGCGCCTGTAGGCCTCTCCCCCGGCCTCGGCGCCTGTAGGCCTCTCCCCCGCCCCGGCCAGCCCCGCCGCTGCCCCCTGGCGGCCACAACCCCAACCGCCTTAGTAAACAATGCCGCCGCCGCGGCGTAAACATTAAAAACGTTGTTTTCTCCAGTGTCTGCTGTCGCCAGCGGCCAGGGGCACCCTGACACCTCCCTCTGCGCCCACCCCCAGCCCCACAACCCTGGGCATGATACAGACTCTCGTCAGAAACACGTAGATTGATGTAGAGGTGTTGGGGGACTTGAGGCAAGAAGCTGGGTTGTGGTTTTGAACCTGATGCTCCTTGGAAAGTGAAGATGGTGAGTTGATGAGCCTCGGTATGGTGTCTCATCTTCCTCTCCCTCACTCTCTAATATTCAACGGATTCATTCCAGCTGTTGTGGAATGCGTCAGTGATGTCATGATGAGATTTTGATTGATTACCTTTGAGTAGTGGTACAGCTTGATTATCTTTGGGTATTAATTAGTAAAGATTTTCTCAAATTTCATGATGGATGATGCAATTGTTAATATACAATAACAATTATTAAACCATTTGCAAGTGTACATTTGTTTTCATCTTGTTTGGAAATGTCTCACTCGGACTTGTCTGGGTCGTTATTGCATTGTGTTATTCGTCTCCTGGACCTAGTAACACATATTTATATCTCCCCAGTTTGCTAACTGTAGGTAGTAACTAAGTGATTGTAACCTATCCACCGCTGCCCACTGGATGGGGGGCAGGTGTGCAGGACAAACATATCAATTGTGACATTAGCTCTCCACATATGTCAGTTGCTTAAATTAGAAACTGTACTTATGGTCGATCTCGAACCCATTGTTGATGTGACGATGTCTATTGAATTTTGTAATTAGCTCATCAAGACTGTAACTTGCTTAGCTAAATGAATGCTGGCTTTACAAGAATTAAATCACTATGCTATGTATCCTCACAAACCCAATGTACCTTCTTGTATATAAATAAATAAATAATCAATCAATCAAATTTCCATTACTGCCCACAAGATGGGTATGGGGTATATATAATAAATGAACTAAAACTAAACATCTTTACCTAAAGGTTGCAGATATGTGAGATAAAGGCTAATGGGGCATTGCATTATTTAGGTTCGGAATAGTGTACAGTACTGTGAATTGTCAGAATATCATTGGGATGTTATTTTTATCCTGTTTTCAAATAGGTCAGTGCTTCTAGTGTCTGTATCCAAATGATGTGTCCCATGTACCTGTATTTATATAGTACAGGTCCTTTGCTCCTGTATCCAGCATGTCCACAATCCTTGGGTAGTGGTTCATCAATCAGATCAATATCCACTTAGAAAATTCTGAGTAACAAGTTGCATCTACAAGAGCAGCGACTATCATAATAGTTTCCCCAATTTCTCACATGCTCCTTGTTAAAAAAAAAAAAGGCAAACAAAACTCCCTAGGAATAATCAAGTGTACCTTAGGCTTTAAGGAAAAGAAGGTAGTTATTTAGCTGTATAAATCTGGTGTACCCCACTTGGATTATTGTATACAAGGACTTCACAAAGGCATTTGATAAATATGACCATGGAGTGATAGCACACAAAAAGAAGTCAGTGGGAATAACAGTTAATTAGGACGGTGGATATTCAATTTTCTGTTGAGCAGAACTCAGAGCAACAGTCAACCAAATAAAATTGAGTTCAAATGCAGTTAAATGCTCTGTACCACAAGGCAAGGTCCTTACACCACCTCATTTCCTTATTTTCATATCAGGTATAGACAAAAATACAAGTCACAGCTTCGTATCACCTTCTGCAGATGACACAAAAATCAGCATGAAATTTACTTCTGTTGATGACATTATTAATATCTGCTTGTAGTTTTTCAAAGTTTTCAACTGGGCAGCAGAAAATAACATGATATTTAACAGTGATAAATTCCAGGTACTCAAGTACAGTAAAAGTAAGGACCTTAAAATAAATACAGGGTACAAAACACAATCAAATCTGCCCATAGTAGGAAAGCAGCATGTAAAGAATCTGGGAATAATGATGTCTGACGACCTAACGTTTAGGGAGCATAACCAAGCAAATATAGCATCAGCCAGAAAAATTATGAAATGGATTTACAAGAACCTTCAAATCCAGGGATCCCATCAAAGTGATTGTACTATTCAGATCACTTGTGCTGTCCAGTCTTGAGTAATGTTCAATATTCACTTCCCCCTTCAGAGCAGGAGAGATTGCTGAAATAGAGGGAATATACAGAACCTAATACAGAAGCACGTAAACTATTGGGATCATCTCAAAGCTCTCCAGATGTACTCCCTAGTAAGGAGACGAGAGGTATAAAATAATATACACGTGGAAAATACTAGAGGGCCAGGTCCCAAATCTGCACAGTAAAATAACAACTTACTGGAGTAAACAATATGGAACAAAATGCAGAATAGAACCAGTGAAGAGCAGGGGTGCCATAGGCACAATCAGAGAACACTATATAAACATCAGAGGTCCACGGTTGTTCAACATGCTCCCAACAAGCATAAGAAATATTGCTTGAACAAATGTGGACGTCTTCAAGAGAAAACTGAAGCTTTCTTCAGGAAGTGCTGGACCAACCGGGCTGTGGTGGATATGTGGGCTACTCCACGCAACAGTCTAGTGGACCAAGCTCTCACAAGTCAAGTCTGGCCTCGGGCCGAGCTTGGGGAGTAGAAGAACTCCCAGAACCTCATTTAGGTACAATCCAGGTACAAATTAATAATAATACAATATTTATTTACATAACATATATTAGACATGTTACAATGGAGTATTCATAGATACACCACATTTTATATAAAGCCACTAATACGCAGAACATATTAGTTAATTGTTTGTGAATAAGGCTGCTTTTTTCAGCTTAATTTTTTGTTAACAATGTTTTTCAACATTTCAGAATGATCCTTTACACGATCCCCTTGGGGTAGAGCCCCTTGGGGAAGAGCCTTGTGGGGAAGAGCCTCTTGGGGAAGAGCCCCTTGGGGAAGATCCCCTTGGGGAACATTTGGATTTTGAAATTAAGGAAGAACCCTTCGAGTTTTTTGAAGAGAATGTGAGTAAATGTTTAGTTTTTATTCATTGTTTATACAGTAGTTTGTCAGCAATTCTTTGTGAAAAATAATTATAATTTATTTTGTTACTATTTATAGTGATCGCTTTGTGCTAGATCATTATATCATACAATGCACGCACATTGCAATTTAATTTTTTAAGATTGATTAACAAAAAAAAATATTGAAACCATTAGATGGGTTTGAACCTACATACCTGAGCTCCTCAGGCACGTAATTGGAATTTTACTACATTGGTCAATAGTACTTGGGATTGTCAGCAGAGCAAATACTAATTTCTATTTGAAAATTGGTAACCATACACTAGTATGGTGAAATATACAATACAGGAATTTTAGTATTATACTGGAACTAACTACAGTGATATCAATTTGAATATTTCAGGGTTAGTTATGTCTGGCTTGGAAAGAATATTGATATACTGAAAGTCCAGAAATATTTGACACACACACATGCTTCACGTCAAACTGCAATTGATTCCTGTGGGTCACATATTCCATTGGAATATTAAGACAAGCCGGGTATAGCAAGGCACATAAACAATTACTGTACTAATGTATCACAGTTTTCTGAAATATGAAAAACTATATTTAGAAGAGGTAAGCAGACAATGTTTTGATGAATTCCTGTTGTTTCAGATGATGGATGGTGATGCTGGTTGTGATAATGGTGGTGGTGGTGGTGATGATGACTCTGATGCTGCTGCCAATGTTTGTATGATCTGTGGAAACTCTTTACATTTTGGTCGTGTTGTCACTGTAACCCGAGGATTGCAAAGAATAAGAGAAGCTAGTCTTCAGAAACAAGATGATATAGTCGCAAAACTGGAAAAGGTTTCATCGGTAAGATTGCACACTAAATGCCGAAAGGACTACACCAGGCCCATGCCACTGAAATGGACATTAGCAAGAAATATCAAGATAAACCAGTCGCAGCAACCTGATACTCTGCAAGTAAATATCACGTGTTGGTTCGTTACGCCAAATACGATCGGTAGTCAGGACTTTCATCTTGAGTGTTTTGGTATCTCCGGGCTGGACAGAAAAAGTTGGGTACATTTTCTTTCATGTGATGCTTCTGTTCAGTGTAATGATGCCTAACATGCAGCAGTGACCTGGACATTAGGCAGCTGTTGAAGGTTGCATCCAGGAGAGGGTCAGTAGTTGGGCCTAGACCTCCCTGACTGGGAAAATTACAAATCTGTATTGAGTTTGTGAGGAAGATGGTGCTGCCACATCTCCCAGCATTTCTATCTCACATATTCCTAATTATTCTGTACAATGAACAGATGGAGGCACAATCAAATAAAAATTTACAAGGGCAAGCGGCTACTGTCTTTGACATCATATTCATACCCATCATGGATAAACCTTCTTAACTATGCTAATTGTGTTAGGCAGAGGACGAGTTAGACTTGTTGCCTTGATCAGGAATTGAGTTTTTGTGTATGCTTTTATAGTCAATAATAGATTTTTGTCTTGGTAGCTTGGCACATTTTCACAACATTCTTCTTTCTTTTGGCCTTTATTTTTTTTGCATGTAGAGCAATTTGACCCAGTACTGAGTTGATCAATGATCATCATGTGCTTCCCACCTCATGCTTACCTATCAGCGACCATCTGGGATGTAGCTCTTTATTCTCTACATCGAAGTCATTTAAACCTGACATGCTAATTACCTCTCTCAAAATTAGTTTTCATCATATTTTTTAAAGTTGAGGATGGAGTTGGCTTTGACAACCTCTTTGAATGCATTACACTTCCCGAACACCTTTATGGGGAATGAGAACATAGTTAATTTTCTATGAAGTTCCATATGCCATTGTCCTCATTATGCAATGAATCTTACAGGTTCCTGGCATTGGGGAGTCTCACTAATAATGACCAGTGCTTAAACTCTGTGAAGTTGCTGAGACTCGGTCCAAAAAGAGTTCTTTCATTCCAGATACCTAACACAACACAAATACATGAAGCTAAATGAAAGTGACAACATTTCGGTCATTGCTTTCACTTAATTTCATATACAGTACAGAGGAACCTCGGGTGACGAACAGCCCATCTATGAGCATTTCAGGTAACGAGCGAGCCACTCGCAGAATATTTGTCTCGATTAATGGTTAATGAGTTAATTAGAGAATCACTCTGTTAATGAGAAAATCATGTGGTGTTTCCTAGTGTTCCCGCTGGTTCTTGGACGCCTCTGATGTCTGACGGAAATTCGTTTCGCAGGATGAACATTTCACATTACGAGCTCTGTGCCAGAACGTATTAAATTCGTTAACCGAGGTTCGTCTGTACTCGCCTAGTTGTGCTTGCAGGGGTTGAGCTTTGGCTCTTTGGTCCCCACCCCCCCCTCTCAACTGTTAGTCAACTGGTGTACCCTGAACTTGTATCCCTAATATGTGTAGCTTGGGTCGTTTGTTTCAGTCACATTATTGAGACATGATCTCTGCATATTTCATTACATTACCTGGAGAGGGTTCTGGGAGTTCTTCGACTCCCCAAGCCCGGCCTGAGGCCAGGCTCAACTTTTGATAACTTGGTCCAACAGGCTATTGCTTGGAGTGGCCCACAGGCCCCACATATCCACTACAGCCTGATTGGTCCGACACTTCTTGCAAGAACTTATCTAAGTGCCTCTTGAATACATCCACCTTTTTTCCAGCAATATTTCAACTAACTTTGATTCATCTTGGAATGCCAAGAACTTTAAGTAGCAGAGGAAAGGTTACGGTAGCCTTGGCTTTTTCTTTAATCATCAGCTGGACTGGCTGGGAATGTGGTATTTTCAAGGCAGCTCTTATTGAAACTCTCTATGGGAAATGGTCTATACTATATAGACAAAAATATGTCTGATGCATTTAATTGTCACTAAATCTGTGCTTTTAAATTTCCAATGTATCTGTTGTTAATAAGGTACATAGGTATATACTGGTATTAAAGAATGTGATATTGCAGGTATGTTGGGTATCAGAAGGAGTCACAATCATTGAAAATGGAGGTGAAGCATATGAAGAAAAGGAAGAAATGGAAAGCACACCAGATGTGGACTGTCTGAGTAGCTCCTCGGAGCACACTGTGGACAGTCAGTACAACACTCCAGGCATATATAAGGTACCTTATTTGTATTTTGTACAAATGGTTAGAATGTAACTGTTGTTTCTCTCTGGTTAGTTACTTTCTGTATAAATTACTTTCCTGGGAGGCTCCCAGGGAGCCTCCCAGGAAAGAGAAATTGCAGAGCCATTACGACGACCATATATATCACTTGGAAGGGATCAGGATTTAGGATGGGACGGGGGAAAAGGAATGGTGCCCAACCACTTGGTCAGTCGGGATTGAACGTCGACCTGCATGAAGCGAGACCACTGCTCTACCATCCACCCCAAGTGGTTGGGCTTCCTGGAGCTAGCTAGCTACCTTTAGGAAACCACCAAGGTGCTCAGCAGAAAGAGGCATTCATTACACTTAATGCTATATATTTCTTAATTCTGTTCATCTGTGAGGAGACAACAGTTCTTCGAACCAATTGAGATAAACTGTTCCATTTGACTTACACAACACCAGATTTAGCATTAATTGCATAACAAAAATTTGCTGGAATAGATATCAGCAAGAGATTTTTATGAATTTGAGATAGCAGTAAGTGTGGCTTAGGTGTAAGTAGAAAAATTTACACATTTAAGATAAAGGAATACAATTGATGAAGAATACAATCTTCTCATGCATTGTGCATCAGAAGACTGGAAAAGTGCATTGACTGTACTACTCTATGAATAAATGCAAACTACAAATATAGGAGCTGGGAGTTATCCGTAATGCAGAATTATGATTGAAGCGTATTCATGTCACCTATCACGGCTCATTATAGTCTGTAGATGTGCCACTATTACAAGCTTTTAATTACACTAAAGCTTCAGAACTAAACTTTTTATGTAAAGTATATATTTAACCTGTCCTCATAAATCATTATGGCACACTATGGTAACCAACATACCAAATGCAACATGGTATGAAAAGTAGCTCATCAAAATCTGTGTTTTATGCAGCGATTGGTTAGGTTAGGTGGGTTACTTGGGTTTGTGTGTTTCTGGTTGGGTTAGGAGGTGGGCTTTTGTTCATTGTGGCAAGTCATGTGAATGGGCTGATATATTTAAGTGTACAGTATTGTAGGTGCTAGTAAATCTGATCACTGCTTACTTTTTTTTCAGAGTTCAATAGAAGTGGAGGAAAAGTGCTCAATTAATGGTAAGTTATTGGCAGCAAATGGTGAGAGATGTTATGTCATTCTTGCTATGATGTGAATGGTGAGGGTATGAGAGATGTCATGTCATTTTGCCATGCTGTGAATGGCAAGGGTATGAGAGATGTCATGTCATTTTGCCATGCTGTGAATGGCAAGGGTACAAGTGTTCACATACTGAGGCGGTGTTAGCGCCTCACTCCCTCCTGGCATTGATACTGCTCAGTCTCACAGTTTTGGGAGTGCTTTTGTTTACATACTCCTGTCTAGTTAGTTTAATGTAACATAGTATTTAAGACTTGCGACTCAATGATGATGGTTCATGAGTTTCATAATGTGGAGAAATGTCCTGTAGCATCTCTCTATCCTACAGCCTAGCCTAAACCAGCTTGGATAATTTGTCATGCAACATCTCCATCCCAGAGTTCAACCCGTTCTCGCACTTGCTTATAGTCAATATTGGCTTATTTAATAAGTGCATATGTGACATACTAATTGATTGTGAATATTTTAGTTTACCTGGAAAAGCTTCATAGAAAACACCGACCTTACCTAACCTTCTTATTATGTTAAGATAAGCATCTTATTGCTTCTTAATTACAATTATTACTTAACCTATACCGTTGATAGGTTAAGTAATAATTTTAAATAAGAAGCAATAAGATGCTTATCTTAACATACTAAGAAGGTTAGGTGAGGTCGGTGTTTTCTATGAAGTTTTTCAAGGTAAACTAAAATATTCACAATCAATTAGTATGTCACATATGCACTTATTAAATAAGCCAATATTGACTATAAGCAAGTACGAGAATGGGTTGCAGAGTTTAGTCACCGCACTGCGCACCTGGTTTTGGCAAAAACTTCACTGTGCAATTGTTAAGGACATACTTTTGTTTTTTTTATAAATGTTCATTTAAAGTTAATGTCAAAATGTTTCCAAACCCAACCATTTTTATTTCAAAATACAAAGAGTGATGAAAAACATTAAAATATAGCCGAATTAACAAAATAAAACAGCACAACTCTCAGAGCGCCTTAGGGTGCTCTGCGCAGTACAATAGTTAAACCAACCATGAGAGATTAGATCATTCATCCTATGCATCAGTGTCAGTAGAGTGACTTTGATTACCTGCTTAAAAGTTCAGATCTATCATCTTGCAAGGTGTCATATGGGCTACATAGGTGACACCACAAACCCTAAATGTTGTACAAACTAAACAGGTAAGAACATGAACCCTAAACGTAGCTAATGAAAGGTAAACATGTTCAATAAATCTGTGTTCTCTATTAGTGTATTTGGCAGGACATTTGATAGCATTATTTATGTTCTGTTTAAAGTGCTGCCTTAAGATTAGTGATGGGACGATGCTAAAATTTAAAATGATTTCAACTCTGATGCCAATTTCACTAAGTTGTCTCGATTCAGATATGATTATCTGTTCCAGTTCCGATTCTTTTAAAAAAAACATAGTTTGATAATTATTGTTTTGAAATTTGTTATATTTTAATTTGGAAAAATTAATTACAGAGGATCCTCGGTTAATGAACTTAATCTGTTCCGGCACGGAGCTCATCATGTTAAGGTCTTTACTTAAGATCTCATGAAATTTAAGAATGAAAGAATGGTATTGTTCTTAGCTGCTTCAGAGTTATACCATGAACTTTATAAGGTTGCTAGAGTGATTTATGTGCTGAGGAAAATTAACGCTCTGTTTGTTGTACTTTTTTGTTAAACTATTAATTTTCTCCAACAGGCACGATCTTTCCAGATGAAAAGTCTATTCTCCATAATATGAAGAAGATGAAGAAGTGCTCTGTAGTTCTAGGTGACTTGAATATAGAGAATTTCAAAAATGACATAAAGAAGGTATCTCTAAAGAAACCAAGCATAAAGAAAACAGTCACAGATAAACTAAGCATAAAGAAGACAGCGAATGAGAAACTAGGCATAAAGAAGATGGGCACTGAGAAAATAAACACGAAGAAGGCAGCTATAGATAAGCCAAGCATCAAGAAATTACCCATAGAGAAACTATACATAAAGAAGATACCAGTAGAGAGACCAAACGTAAAGAAGGGACCCATAGAGAAAATAACCATAAAGAAGGCAGCCATAGAGAAACCAAGCATAAAAAAGGCAGCCATAGAGAAACCGAATATAAAGAAGGCAGCTATCGAGAAACTATTCATGAAGAACATATCCATAGAGAAACCAACCATAAAGAAGGGACCCACAGAGAAACCAAGCATAAAGAAGGTACCCACAGAGAAACCAAGCATAAAGAAGTTACCCATAGAGAAACCAAGCATAAAGAAGGTACCCACAGAGAACCCAAGCATAAAGAAGCTACCCATAGAGAAACCAAGCATAAAGAAGGTACCCACAGAGAACCCAAGCATAAAGAAGCTACCCATAGAGAAACCAATCATAAAGAAGAAAGAAGAGAAATGTAATTGTCTTATAAAGAAGGAAATAAAATACCCTCCGAATGAAGAAACAGAATGTCCTGTCACAATAGAAAACGAGGGGAAGTACAAGAGAGAGCTTGAATGCCAGCTAGCCAAATACAGGTCAAACATCAAGAGGATGCAGAAGATCTTGGATGAAGAGAGAGCAAAAATGTTGAAAGTACAAAGCACCCTTGTAAACATGAGGCGAAGACTGAGACGACGTGAGCTAAAGATGATTAAAATCATGAAAAATGAGAATGATGTTAAAGAGGAGAAAGAGGACAACGAGGAATGGAATGGCCCTACAATGGAAAGAGAAATGGAAGTTAAAGGACCAATCATATTAGAAGAAACGGCGAATAAAAAGAGAAAGGGAATAGAGCAATTTACTAAAATGAAGATGCAAAAGTGTGGACACATGAAAAGTAATGAGGGAGGAGAGGAAATATTGATAATGGAAAGTGAAATAAAGAAACCAATTAAAAAAGGGGTGGGACAAGTAAAGAAAAGGGAAAAAGGTGAACAAGTAAAGGCGATGAAGGCCATGATGAGGGTAGACGCACCTAACAAAAGGGAAGATTTTGAAGAAATTACAATAGAAGAGGTGCAGAAAAACACTCGGGTTCAAAGGGTTGAAGTTGAAATAGAAGAAAAGAATGTTAAACCAGAAATACAAATAGCCACCTCCCATATGCTCTGGAATGTTTTGAGCCACATCAAGACAGAACCTTACTTGACACACACAATAGAGAGTACTAAGGATATGCTACAGCTTCCACACACCCAATTTACTTTACATCCACATAACAAGTCAATTCCCCCCGATATTCCGCTGTTGGTAAAGGAATTTATGCTACGGGAAGATGTATCAAAAGCGTGCTCACCTTTGCCCGATACAGCTGAAGAAATACCAGATGCAAGGTATCGTATTCATTACCTTTTAATCCTCTACAAGCAGTTTGTAGCAGAACATGGACTGCTGTGCGATTATAAAACATTTGGTGTTTATGTGCCCAAAAATGTGATCAAACCTAGTGCAGGCTTCTGGAAGACTTGCACCTGCTTCCCATGCATCAATCCAGAACTTAAATTTGAAAAGCTTAACTCTTTAGGTTTTCTGAAAATGAGTGGAATTGAATTAGGAGATATCCTTTATGATACAGAAATGGAGAACACACTTATGGCACAGTTACGTATATTGAGGGAATCCAGAGATGTATTTTCATATGATGCTTGGGAACGAACCTGCAGTGGTACCATACACTCGAAACGTAGAAGTGTAAGTGAGCCAGTTGGCATTGTTGTGGCCAAGTTTTTTGAGGAGCTTAGCTTTTTAAAATCTCATATACAAAAAATATTTTGTCAATTAGATGCTGCCAAACTGGCACGAGAAAGAGCTATGCACTCAGCTGATGAAGTTACAATACACTTGGACTGTTCCCCAATACCCATATATCGCTATGTTGGTTCCGAGTCTCCATCATCAGACATTGCCACAATCCTTACAATTTTAACAGGCTACCTATGGAGTGAAGAAGGTTACCAATCTGTTATTGCAATATCAGACAGCAAAGATTACACAACAGCAGCTGTTTGGGCTGGTCTGGAGAAAATATTGCTTAATTTAGTCCAGGCCGGTAAAACCAAAATTAATATAATATCTGACTGTCCAACAAACCGATACAGAAATAAGAGTAATTTTTACTACATGAGTGATTTTGCGCAAGTGTATGGTGTTTGCTTCCGATGGGTGTTTCTGGAGCTGGGCCACGGTATTGGTCACGCTGGAATTGTGAGATCCGAATTTGATAATGTTATACGAGACCAAATGTCTAATAATTCCAGTTTGCCAGTTAGGAATAGCTGTGATGTCCTTAGCTTGGTGCAGGCTCATACATCATCCTCTGTCCACACATACACAGAGGAAGATGTCAAAAAGTATAAGTTTTTGTTGCCAAAGTTACGTGTGATACAAGGAACCCAAAAGTTTCAGGAAGTTATTATTCTCCCAGAGGACTTCTGGGTAAGGGATGTGGTGAGTCACGATGCTTTCAGAAAGCTATGTATATGAGGGCTGATTTTCTTCTCCAAAGTTTCAGTTTCTGTTCTGTTTTTAATATGTACAATTCCATTCAACGTAACGTCACTGTGGCCTATTGCGTTGTCTATTTTAAGAATATTTTTTATGTTAATGCTATTAGCAAGCATTAATAGCACAGAGATGCGAGAAATTTGGGAAATTTGACTGATGGAGGTTATTTACCCCTTGTAACATTCAAAATACCTTTCATTAATTGCACATACCTGAAGTACAAGCATTTAAAATGTCCGTAAGATTCTTATCACTTTTATTTAAAATTTTATCACTAATCCCAAGTTAGCATTGTAAACAGTTTTATACTTATATTCTTAATATTGTTTTAATTTAAAATTTCTCATAAATATGATCAGCACTGTTATTGATAAAGTCTGCAAAATTCTCTTTAAAGTTAATTACAGTAATGTTGTTTGTCTTGGTGAAGTACAGTAGAGTTCTTTGTCTCATTGAGCTTAGTTTATTGTCATAAGCATATTATTATTCTCATTCTTTTAAAAATTATTAAAATCGTTTATTTCAGAATTAACTGATGGGTGATTGACTGTTCTGTGATGGTTTTGTTCTTTGTCTCTGAATAGAGCTTGTCTGTTGGGAAGGTGTAAGCTTGCTCTAAGTAAACAATTAAATCCTTTTTTATTGGCTCCTATACCCTTCTTTTTCTCAGTAATTACAACTTTACCTACATCAACATTGCAATCTTAGTTAACTAGATTTTTGCACAATTTTCTAAGGCTAGGCTGAGACTTAAGTGTTCAATGCCTTTTCTTTATATCTGTATATCTAAATACTCTTTATTTTTTGTATAATCTGTTGGACATCATTTGCACTTGTGTCCTCAATACATTGAAATCCCAGTCATTTGAAATTCTGTGGTTCTATTACTTCTGCATATTTTTTTAACTGGAAAATAATTGGAAATAATAAATGGGGACCTTCCTTATTGAAAATTAATGAGGGATGATGTCTCTTACTACTTATCTATACAGTACTTGTAATACATTCCCATTCCCCAGTAATTTCCTCCCTCCAAGATGGTGGCCTCAAGAGCGCCTCGAGGCAGCCCTGTCTGAAGGTGATCGAGAGCTATTAATCCCGTAGACCATCATGATAATAAGCTCATAAATATTGAGACACTACAGTGCGATCAATCTTGCATTCCAGAGCTCCCCAGCCGCACGCTGGTCATGGTATTGTCTGTTCTGTGTATTGTAATTCTACAGGTTTTCCCTATGAGCTGGCCAATGACCATTCCCTCCCTCTCTCCAAGTGCAAAGGTCATCAGAATATTTGTTTTGGACCACTCTTTATATTACACCGTACTTCCTTGTTTTTTTCTGCTCTACCACAGCTTTTATATGGTTTTCTAGTGCCTATTCCTAGTTTCTTCATTCAGAAGCCTGAAATTTAGGTTTATCTATTTCATTCTTTGTTTAAGTTTCACTCCTATACATCAGGGATGGAAGGATTATACCGTTATGCAAGGCTTTCTTCATGTCTGTAGACACTTGCTTAGGTTCCCTTCAAGAAATGATCACTGTACTTTGATTCACTATTCTCCTTATAAAGCTTTCTATTGTACCCTTTTCAAACATTGCCAGTCTCATACATTTAAATTGCTTTATACTTTTAAAACTTCACTTGTATTTGTGAAACTTCACTTCACTTTTCTTTCCATCTCGTCTTTTGCTTTGTTCTAGTGCAATTTTTGGAGCTAATACTGCTCAGTTAGTCCCTTATCCTGTTCTCATGATGACTTGACATCAGGCTAGTCAGGCCAGTTTAATTTTCACTCCTGATGTTGCTAGGCACCTTTCAGTTTTCCCCTTCTGGGCCCTTAATGATCTCCAGAAGGATCATTCATCTACACTAAAAATTTCTTAAAAGTTTTACTCAGCCTTAAGTAGACTGCCAAGTATCACTCTGCTAATTGCTGGTTGGCCACCTGGTCAGTACCTCAGACTGACACTAGGTGTCACCACTTGTACTTTTATCATAGTCTCTGGTAGACTGCAAATTTCTCAATTATCCTGCCTCTCACAAGCATCATAGTCTGTCTGATGAGTGACTACTTCTTAAATGACTGTGTTCATTATGCATTATTAGTTTCATGCATATTGAACCTGTATTGCATATTGAATGTTTTTAAGTAAATATTTGCCCATTTGGGTGTGTTCAGTCATTTCAGAGCCTCTAAGTTTTGCCAACTTTCTTGGCCGAATTATCATCTTTGTACTGGTTTAGTAGTCCTTCATTCAGCCGAGTCTCTCTCTCCTTTTGATTGATCTTTATTTTACAGGTCCTTGGGATCTGGCCCAGGGCTGAGGCTTTGGTGCTGTGTGCACATGTTTGACTTTGTTCAGTTGCCACATCATGAGTGTGCATATATTGTGTATTGATTTGTTTTGTTTTGGCCTCAAGCATGCCCTTGGCCATAACTGTCAGTGGTGGAGAGGGTTAGGTTAGGGCATGCTGTCAACAAGTCTTATGACCAGGTTTTCTGTCCATACTGTTTTCTGAGGCAGAGCTCCGGTGACCTGATCTAGTTTTTAAATAGTTCTGCTCTCCAGAAGTGGCTAGCTGTGGCAACTCTGTAGACTACAGCTGCTGCTGTTTTATTGGTCGCTTGTATCTCAGGATGTGCCTTATTTGCCAGGGTTCAACTTTGGTCTTGGCAGTCAGTTTTTGAGACTGCATCCTGACTGTGGCAGGATCACCTTGGAAATGGAAGTGTTGGTAGTCCCCATTCTTTGCTGCTAGAAGTTCCAAAAACAAGCTCCTAATTATTGGAAGGGTGGTGCTCCTTCCCTACTTTTTGGCATCTTCAGCTTCTATGTCTGCAACTAAGTGATGGCTGGGATTGGGATTATGCTCCTGTTCCAAACTCTGTTGCCGGCCCTTTCTCATCTTTTTTTTTTTTGAGATATATACAAGAGTTGTTACATTCTTGTACAGCCACTAGTACGCGTAGCGTTTCGGGCAAGTCCTTAATCCTATGGTCCCTGGAATACGATCCCCTGCCGCGAAGAATCGTTTTTTCATCCAAGTACACATTTTACTGTTGCGTTAAACAGAGGCTACAGTTGAGAAATTGCGCCCAGTAAATCCTCCCCGGCCAGGATACGAACCCATGACATAGTGCTCGTGGAACGCCAGGCGAGTGTCTTACCACTACACCACGGAGACTGCGTTAAGACCTGGATCTCTGGTCCAGGACAAAGTTTGGTTGGAGACAATGAATTTTACTGGGCCCTTCTTGGGCTCTGATGACCAGGCCTTATGATTCTTAGTTGTGGGTTATTGAACTATACCCCCCCCCTCTCCTTGTTGTGGGTTGTTGAACTATACCCCCCCCCCTCCTTGCCAAATCTGAGTGTGATACTGTACATCTTGTTTGTCTTATGTTTGGTTTGCTTTGCTTTTGTGGAGTTTGTGAACATTCCAAGACTACTGTATTTTTTCAGCCTTTTTGTGCAGATGATGCAAAACTAGGGTGGAAAATATATTCAAGACACACAAAATCACTGGGAAAACGATTTAAAGAGTCTTTCATAATAGACAAAATATTGGCAGATTCAGTTTGATGATGATAGATGTAGGGCTCAAAGTCAATATGATGTTAATAGTTGCCAGTAATTAAATGGACAACATTAAAATTGCCCTTACCTACTAGTGGGCTGAGGCTCATATCTAGTATTCACCAAAATGCTGCTTTAAATTCCCGCATTGCTCCAAGTGATTTTCTCAATCTCCAGTGTCTCCCGTTTACCATTAATAGTTGGGTCTAGGTTGTTTGAAAAGTCTTTCACTATGTCTTGAAGTAAAAGTTGAACTTCCTTGGCTTGTCTTATGCCATGTACTTAGGAGAGACCTATAAAGGATCTTCCCCTTTACATTCTTAGTTTTTCCATTAATTTCTTTTTCATCTTATTCACTTACTGCTGGCATGCTGAAGATTTTTTCCAAAGATGTAGTTAATATTTCGTGCAAGATTGCCAAAAAATTGCTATTGCCGAAAAAAAAAAAAGTTGTATAAAGATGTGGGAAGTTTGTCTACATACACAGTCATGTTTACATCACTTTCTGTTCTCTTTTTCTTGGAATGTCTTTTGGTTTCACTTATCAACCTGCTTGATTGTAAGTGACCCTGACACGCTGCAGACCAACCTAACTTCACTTGCAGTGCCTACATTTTCTTCAGCTTTCATTCTGCCAATCACAGTTACAATTTCTCTCTTGAGGTATGTAATACAGATTGTATTGCACATAATGTGCTGTAGTGTATTGTGTTCATACAGTTTTAGTAATATTTCTTTATATTTGTCTGGGCATCTTGTCCTGCTCGTAAGTCATATCTGCCATTTACTGCAGCGACATGCTCCTACATTTTGCTTCATTCTTTAATAAAACGCAGTACGTTAATTTTAACACTCATATACTTTTATGGCAGTTACATCACCACCCCCCCAAGATAGTCAGATTTTTTTTGTTTTTTCATAATAATGTGATTTGTACACTGTACAATGTCCTGGGTATATACCACAGTGGCTATAGACTGAAAGATATGTGCAATGAAAGAAAGCTATGGACAGTATTACCAATACATGTAAATATTTATAGTTTAAGGATTATGTATGTATACATGGTAGTGTGTGTATGATGATACATTTGAAGTCAAATTGATTGTGTAATTGTAGAAAGAAACATTTAAAGTATATGTATGGTGTTCAGAAGCTGTAAGATAAATATCTGGAGAATTGCTTGATTACGTGATTGTGTTGTGTAAGATTGAATGGCATGTGGATGATAATGCCTCACCAGGAGCCACGAGGTAAAGACATGGAGGCCCTTGGGCACGTTTCCTTATATGTAATATCGCTGTTAACCTAGCAGTAAACAGGTATATGGGAGTTAGTCAGTTGTTGTGGGTTCCATCCAAAGGGATGGTCAGTTGTTGCTTAGTATTATTTGATTAACAATCTTTGCAGGCGTAACTAAGCAGGCGTATGCTGTTGCACAAACTGGTAGAAGTGTGAGACAGTGTTTGGGAGAATGAGGAATGAGCGAAACTAAGCAGTGGAGTCTGTGGACACAAAAATAAGGGGAAATAAAAGTTGTGTAAAACTTTTAGGTATCCAGAAAGTAGTGTACACTTTAGTCAATTGATTAATGCTACATTCATTGCAAACTTTCTCTTTACTTTTTCCATAATGAATGTACAATAGAGTACTGTATTAGGATGATGAAGAGAAGTGACATGGTAGTGTCCCCACTTTCAAGGCGTCTGATAATTTTAAGTTGCATTTCTAGAGTTAACATTACAGTTTCAGTAATTTTTTATTGGGTATCTATGGATACAGGGAGTGCCATGATGCTAGAATGTAATCTAGAAAGGGGGTAAACATAACGGAAATGGAAGTAGGCACTAGGTGTAGGTGTTTAGAAAATGAGGGAGGGCTATCTAAACCACATGACGTAACACTGTAAGTCACAAACATGTTGTACCCCTGTGCAGGCGATGAGTCACAATAACGTGGCTAAAGTATGTTGACCAGACCACACACTAGAAGGTGAAGGGACGACGACGTTTCGGTCCGTCCTGGACTATTCTTAAGTCGATTGTGACCATTCCCAATCGACTTGAGAATGGTCCAGGACGGACCGAAACGTCGTCGTCCCTTCACCTTCTAGTGTGTGGTCTGGTCAACATGTTGTACCCCTACTATGGTGGCATAATGCAAAAACTGCATCTTGCAAATAATGTACTTGTTCATACAAATTCAGATCCTACTGTAGTTAGCAAATAAATGATTTAAATTGGATGGGACAAATGTTAAAAAAAAAAAAGATCCGACATATCAAATCATCTTTACAGTGGAAACCCACTTGAGTGAAATCTAGTACAAGGAAAGACCAGATGTAATGGAACGATCCATTATGTGCCTAAAATAGGCTGATCAGTTGCACTGTAAAATAATAAGAGATTTAGTTCAGCTGTTTACATATTTATCAGACCAAAATGTGGTGCTGAAAAAGCTTAACCAATGCAAAACATTATTTATTACATTAAAGCTCACCTATTGCAATTGATTTTGGTATCAAAGTATGCGCAAAAACATTTTATATTTTTGTACTAATAAAAACATAACAGTTGTGGCTAGAAGCCAAAAAAAAAAAAGCAAAAAAAAAAAAAAAAAGCTAAGATCAGAGGGAATTGTAATTTGGATGCAACAGATGGGGTCCAGAGCAACTTGTATCATTCAAGCAGGTTTCCATCATACTGTACGTATTTATTTCCCCTTCCAACTGCCATTGTATTTTACGTTCCTTTCTTCCTATTCCTCATAATCTCTTCATGTATGGTTAGAACAGACTCTTGTTGGTACTGTGTGCATCATAACCCTGGAATATCTGGGAGGGTATATATATTTATTTATACTGACTGTTTTAGAAATACAATTTGTTGAATGGGTATGTACACCGAGATGCATACCCAGCGTCGTCTTGTATATACGTACAGTACACTGAAAGTCGACTTTACTCATGTGCTATGTTCAAGAT